TAAAATCCTAAACCCCCCCCCCCCACTATAAAATGCATATATATATATATTTTGATATTCAGGCCACTTGCATTCTCCTTGCAGTGTAGTGGTTCTGCAGACAGCAAAGAAATATGACTACCCAGAAGATAAAATGAAAGACAATTGGAAAGGTCAAAACAACATACTTTCTCACCATATTGCACAGCATGCATGAAGCATTAAAATTCTGATAGCATATTTTTGAGACAAAGATTGCTGCAAGAAGAGAAAATGGCATAAAATATCTTTGCACAGTACTTTTAAATGTGAAATTGTATGAACATAGCTCAAAGTTTATTTAAGGTGGGAAAATGTTTTATGCCTAAAATAAGGCATTGTTTAAAAGAGCCATGACCCCTTTTCCTTCTCCGTTCCATCAACTGAATCTATAATCTATAATCCTTTGAACTAGAGATCTGTCTTAAAACCTAGGAAAAATTTACTGTGGATTTAGAAGGTAAATACCAGTATCCAAAACAAGTTGCCATTGAATGACCCGAGCTTTGTTAGGCAAGTGAAAATGATGGTCTAGTTTTGATTACACAGATAATAATGTTTGTTCCTGCATGGTATTTTTCAGGTATTGTGTGATATAAAATAAACCGATAGTTGCTCCAATTAACATTTTGCAATTATAAAAAGACCTTTAAAGGACCTCTGTTAAAGTTAGGAGGTTTCTGTATTTGATCATCATGTAAAAGCATTTTTTATTTTTTTGTTCTTTGTTTTTTTTTTTTCTTTTTTAACCACTGATGGTCCAAATGACCAACAAAACAAACCTTTCAAAGAATGATCTGTAACTGTCTCAAAATTTGAAGCTGCTTAGATTGACAGTTGAAATGAAAAAGCCAGAAGGGTTGGTCAAGTGTGATTTACAGATGTATATATGCAGGCTGCGCCATCAAGTCCACTTTCCGTGCCAGTTCCATTTTCATACCCTTGCAGGGGACTAGATCTGACAAAATTCCTACTCTGCAGTGATTCAGAGAGCAAAGAATTTATCCTTTTTAATTGTACTGGCCTAAAATGGAACTGGCAGGAAATGTATATAGGATTCTGAAACACACACTGCATCGAAGTGCTGCATGTATTGTCAGTTCTTTATCCAGGGGTTGGGAAGATTTCTGCAATTTTGCTTTGGAAAGGCATGATTTTCTACAACATTGCATTAGGAAGCAGCTAGATTTGGGGCCTCATAACCTTACTGTGGATCCTATAAAAAATGTGTTTCTGTGCAGTGTTGTTTTAAAAAATATCTGAGATACAGGTCAAATTCTAATTGTAAAGCTATGTAATGGATCTGGCAAACCATCTCAGGGTGACAGAAGAGTCCATTGAACTAATCAGCCCTCCCCAGAAGGGGTTTGAACCTGAATCAGGCTCTGGGTAGGGCATTGCCCAGGGTACTCTCTCCAGTTCTCTTCTTAAGGCTGGCCCACTGCGTTTCTATTTAATATTCATTGAATAAAATGGACAAACAGCCAGAGGATAACTTCTACCCCACTGGGGTCAGGAGCCCAGGCTAAAATCCAATGCCCTTTCCCATCCACATCCATGTGACTAGAGCTTCTGGCTTGTTTTCCTCTGCTTGGTCATACATGTCTTCTCCTCCTGGTTGCTTAATGGGCCAGCTTCCAAAGAAGAGGTGGAGAGTGATCTGGGTAAGGATTAAACTATGGTCAGATGGTTAGAGCATTTTGATGGGAAGCAGGGTCAGTGTAACAGGGAACCTTGGCCCTGTTACTGGAGAGTGGTGTGGCAGAGTCTTTATAGCATGGGTAGCCAGCAGGTCAGGGTTTAAAGAACAGCCCTGTAATCAGGTCTGCTGACTGGGTGGGGGGGAGGAGGGAGAGACTCATATGACCAGACAAGAGCTCAGGAGAAAGAGAGAGACCTTTATTTTGGGACTAGAGGGGTGGTTTGGAGGTCCCATTGGTGCCCTAGGTCATGTGATTATCTTTGGTCCTGCTGGGGGCAGATTCAAGCAGAATGGGGGCTGGGACCCAGAAGCCAGGCTTAGAGCAGTGGGCCTGCCTGAGCTGCAGGACCAGCCAGAGTAGAGGGGCTGAAGCCAGGAAGGCTAAAACCCCAGCAAAGGGAGGAAGGCCTGGAGTGGCCTGGAAATGAAGGGACAAGTGTCCCACCTGATTGGTGACTCAAAGTCTGCGAGGCATGGGACAGGGAATTGGGGAGGTATGGAACCATGCAATTAGCCCTTAAGACAAAGGACCACAACCACGAGGTGTTTCTTAGCGCAAGACCAGGTCTGGGAAGCCCTGGGACAGCCTCCTTTTTATAACTATAAAGGACATCAAGTTGTGGCATGTGAGTGATTGGGACACTGTTCCCAGAGTGAGCAGGGCAAAAAGGGAATTTTGTGGGCCTCCAGGGGCTTAGGGTCACCCCAAAGGATGGTGCCCTGTTACAGTCAGACTTTGTGCGGATCAGGGGGAACCTAGAGCCCGGGGCCAGGTATAGAAGTTTATTGCTCAGTAAGCGTGCAGAAAGCACTCTCCAGCCATAAACGAACGGGTGGTTAGGGTACATAGAGTGTTGTAAAAATGGTAGATCCTGCTCTAAGATAACCCTGGATGGATGTGGTATCAGACTTCAGTGCTGTAGGCTAGAGTGCCAGTATGAACATTTATACCAGATCCCATTACAACTTACAGTAGGTCACATTCTGCCAGCGAGCCATGGAATTTTGCAGCACCCCACTCACCACCACCCCCTTTGCAGGGCAGTACTCTAGCTTAGGCCAGAGCTTGACTCCTCTGCCTAAGCACTGGGCCTGTTCTGCCCCTGGCCCTGACAAGACTCAGTGAGGGCCTTGTTTCCAACCCTCCCCAACCTTGGCCAGCTATGTGTTACTGTCTGGTATTCTCACCCAGTGTGCTGATTACATCTCTCCTGTCTGGACATTTGTAAAGAGAGCCTCTTTTGATCAAGTTCTGTGCTGTCTGCTGGACACTGCATTCGGACAAGGGGCTAAGATGTTCATCTAGTATAGTGTTGAAGTGTCCATGTCCAGATCTCAGTCTGTTCAGCTTGACTTATGATTCTCTGTCAAAAGTCATGTCCAATGTGGGGCTCATTTGGTGTTGGTATAAAATGCTGCAGGAATAGATTTACAACCTGATGACTCTAAACGATCATTTTATTTCTGTTCACCCCACCCCTTATCTAAATTTAGTGTAACCCATAAGGCCGCAGTATCCAGCCTGCCAGTTGGTCTAATGCCTGAGAGTGCAGGGAAAACAGCAATGTGTGTAACTTGTGTGCAGAAACTCATAAGAGGCTGCACTGTTAAGTACAGTGTTGAGATTTTTGGTGCGGCAATTTATGGACCGTACAGGAGCACAATAATCTGCTGGGGCATATATCATTGTGAGTGCAGTGGTTCTAAGCACTTTGAAGTTGGCACACCATGTTGTATTGGTTAAACATCTTAAAGCAGAGACTTCACTGCTGACCGTCCAAATGTGATGTTTATAGGTGAGGGAATGGTCTAATGTGATTCCTTGGTAAATTGGGATATGATTATGGGGAATGCTGTGGGTTGCCTACTTAGATATTCAATGTGGTCTTGGCTCAACAATGGTCCAGATGGTAGGCTGATGATACTGATTGTTGCTCCTCACTTACCTCGTACCTCTCAAATTGTCTCCCACCCAATCCTCACACCACTGCCTGGAATGAAGGGGAAATGGGAATTCTCCCTAGCAACCCTCCTCCCTCAGAAGGCACATGTCTCTGGGCCCTGATCTTGGGTTTCCAAGCCCTCCTGGGTCCCAGGCATTTGGGTTTTCCTAGCCGGGAGGCAGAACATGAATGTTCTATGCTGTGGTCAGCACTGGGCTGTAAGGAGCTGCACCGCTTTTGACTCCAGGTGGGAGAAAGGGTCCAGACACAGGACTTGCCAGAGGTCCCTTTATGTTTCCCTTGTCTTCAGGCTCCACATTTGTGTGCAGGAGGCCTGGTCATGGAGCCTGAAATGCTGGATCCAGGATGGTCCCACAAATACCTGCAGAGTGGTGGAGACATGTGTAGACAGTACTGGTGACGTGAGGACCAAAGGGGATACTCAATGCGGCAGGTTAGAATGGACAGGTTAGTGGCTGCTTGAACCCATGGTGTCACAGTACTTGAATGACGTGTGGCAGGCCAGTAGGGGGCGCTCCTGCGTTGAGCCACCCACCTCCCTGCGCCCAACCACCTTCCAGGCTCCGAGTGCCTCCCTTGGGGTGCCTCCCGTCCGGCCGACCCCTTCCCTGGAGCACACCTGCTAGCCTGGGGTTCCCACTGCCACCATCCAAGGCTCTGGACTCACTTCTGGCTCTGCGCACCTTGGAGAACACAGGCCTGATCGTCCAATGGGTACTAGACCCAATAGAAGCACTTGGGGCACTTCCCCAAGTCAGGGGCTTATTAGGAAGCCTCCCTTAGTGCACAGACCTAAGGGGCCTCCTCGGCATAATTTAGACCCACCCCTCAATAAGTCTCCCACACCGGTCACAAAGGAGAACTTTATTGATTACAGGGGTAGGGCGGAAACAGGGTAAAAGGTAGAGCAATGTCATAGAAATATCACAGGAATATCAAAGGAATCCCATAGAGCAAACCAGGGTGGCTGAGGTAGCCGTTTAAACACGCATCTGAGTTACTGAAGCTAAAAATCTAATCGGATCTCGAGTAGCTTACTCACTCACATCATCCAGAGGTGGTTGTTGTTTCCTCTGGAGGCAGGGCACTTCTACAAAGCATCCCTGGCTACCTGGGCCCGCGCGCAGGGCCGGGTTTTCCCCACCCCCCTGCCCAGGTGACCAGAGCATCACCTCCCAGGCACCAGGCTTTTGTCATGCAGACAAGGTGGGAGATCCCCGCCGTGAGGGATTCAACTGCCGCCTCTCAGGCTGGCTGAGACAGGTCTCTGGAGAGGGGCACCGACGGTGGCATTTCTGCCACACTGGTGACGTGAGGACCAAAGGGGATACTCAATGCGGCAGGTTAGAATGGACAGGTTAGTGGCTGCTTGAACCCATGGTGTCACAGTATTTGAATGAGCTGTCCAGGCTCTAGGTGTTCCTGCATCCAAACAGGCTGAGAGTCTTGATCTGGGAGGTCTAACATGCACTAGCACAGGGGTTGTCAACCAGGGGTATAAGCACCCCTGGGAGAACTTGGGATGGCCATGGGGATATGCATGGCAGTGCGGGGAATCGGTGCGCGGCAGTGGTGGAGTGGTGGTGGAGTGGTGAACGGTGGCAACTACCACCACATGAGAACTCCCCAAACCCCGCTGCCACCATGCACCACTCCACACTGCCACTGCACGCTGCTTCCTGCCGCTGCCATTCACCAATGCACACTGCTGCCATTTACCCACTACCTACCACTGCCATTCACCACTCCATGTCACCACCACATGCCGCTTCCCCATGCCACTGTGCACCCCTGGCTTCACTTCCAGCTGGCTGTCAGCACCTCCCTCAGTCTTCCCCTCCCCCCCGCCCCGTCTGGAAAGGGGTACACTGCAGAAGGGGTACCCACCAGAAGGGATACACTCCTAAAAGAAAGTTGAAAACCTCTGCACTAGCACATGGAGTTCAGTACAAATCACAATAGCCAGGAACATTTCAATCAATAGCACAGTTAGAGGAGGAGGAAGTGGGAGCAGTGTGGTGGTCACTGCTCCAATACTGTTTTTGGATTTTATCCAAGAACTCTTTAACACAAAATGAATAAGCAAGCCTTGGATCTGGGACTGTAATCCAGGATTTCTTCATCCCAGAGGAGTGCCCTTATCATTGGGTTGCAGTCACGCTTACGCTCTCTTTTTCTAGTCCTGCATATCTGTCTATAGAATAGCACAACTTCAACAGGTGACATGAGGAGTGCCCTCTACCCTACTCAGCATAGTCTCTAGCCTGGTAGTTAGGGCACTCTTCAAGGAAGTAAGGGTTGTGATTTTTAGACCCCTTCCGGGTGAGAAGGGCCCAGTGCATATACGGATTGTGTGTCCTGATGTTATCCAGGTGTTATTTCTTATTTTTGAAAGCTTTTGCAGCAATGTTGAAAGCTGGATCAGTTATGGCTGCTATGATTTTTTTGTTTCTGTTTTGTTGGTAGCTTTGAAGGATGTTTTGTTTGGTTGTCTGTTTACTTTGACCCTGAAAGAACTTGAGAGTTTCTTGTAGATCAGTGCTGTGCTGTTCCAGACAGCTGGCTCTGTTGTTTTTTTTAAATACATTTTATTCCGTGAGACTGTTCAATTTCCACTTTCTGTTTTTTTTCTTGAAGGTCTGATCATTCACCTGGTTGTGGCAGTTCTGATTTAACTTAGAGGTGATATACCTCTGAATACCAGTGCCGTAGCAACAAAGTTTGGCACTCAGTGTAAAGCCTACAGCAGCAGCCTACAGATTTGGGGGCACGCGCCCTCCATGCTTGCCCAGGAATGCACGCAGCAAAGGGAGCTGCCCTTCTGCCGTCCCCGGGCCCACCCCCCAAACAAGCCGCTCATGGCTCCATCCCATGTCCCGCCCTGCCTGGGCAGCACCTGTTGGGTGCCCCTTCACTTCAGTGTGTGGGGCAGTTGCTCTGCTTGCTATGCTTGCTTTGCTATGGCACTGCTGAATACCATGTGCATTATCACATACTCCTATGAACAGTCTCCATGTCCAACGTAGAGAGACTCATTTTCTTTCAAGTTGTAAAACCATGCGCCCGATGTCATAGGCAGAAAAGATGGAGGGGAGGGAGAGGTCATTTTAAACTATTGTGTAACATCTATTATCAGAGCAACAGGGACTAACTACAGTATTTTGCATTTCAGGCATACCCCCTAGTATATCTTTCTTTATAACTAGTTTATTATCTTTGGAATGTAAATTGGGATTGAGGAGAATTCTGAGCTGTTCTGCCAATTTATGACAGGGATATTAACCAGAGGCTAGTTCTACCTTCTGGATAGTAGCATAAAAAAACACAGAAGATGATAGCACTGGGTCCAGAAAAGCTAGAGGTTGCAAATGATGTCATTTTGTGTAGCAATGCACTGATTCTGTATAATTTCCTGTTGTACATTCAGTACTGTTTTTGTGTGGTCTGCTAAGCAAAGATGTCTTCACCCCCCCCTCCCCAGCCTCTTCAAGAAATTATTCAATAAGCGATTAACTGTCACTCTGTAGAAGTGTTTTTCTTTCATTCAGCTTCAACAAATTTTCCCTTTGTTAAATTCATCCAACTGCTCCCAGTTTACTTCCTTTTTGTTAGGCTAAAGAACTTCTTTCCCTCCCTCACACCTTCCAAATACCTCTTATCTTGTCCCTCCTTAGTTGGTGCTTAGTAAGGTGTACATATTTAATTCTTTTCATCTTTCCTCATAAATTTAGTCCCTCAGGCTCTGTAACCATTTGTGCTGTTCTTTTTGAACTGCCTCCAATTTGGTAACCTGCTGCCTAGAACAGACACAGTATTGCAGATAAATTACAGTTTTGGAGAAAGAAGGAGGGCCTTCTGCCATCTCCATTTACTTCTTGAAAGCTGAGGTGGTAGTCCCTTCTATTTATGCTGGGCAGTAGCCAAAAGCCTGCATATTGGTACTGTTGTAGATATGTTGCCCAGCTCCACTGTTCTGTAAACTAGTTTTCCATCTGGTTTTACTTTGCTGTAATCTCTGTAGATGATTAGATTGCATGTAGCGCCACCATCCATTTGGTATGGGATTTTCTTTCTTGGATGGTTGCCAGTCCTCATGTTCAGCATTATGAACCACTCTT